GATCTGCTTGTTGCAGACATCACTGGGGCGTCTCCTTCTACTGTTTAAGGCAACTCTACCTAGCACTCTGTTTCTTTCCCTTGCCGTTATCCTTTTTTCTGAATCGAAAAAAAAGAAACTAATACATAACAATAATCCTTCATTTTATGGAGAACATTTGTCCCTCATTCTAAAGAGAAAATCTTTGAATTATTCCATGGAGAAAAACTCAAATTATGAATTTTGAACCTTTTTATAATTTGAAAATTTTAAAAATAAAACAACAAAAAATCTAAATGAAAATCAAAATACAATGTGAATGTTTATAGTGAATAACAAACATACAATTAACTTTTGAAAAAACAAAACACATGCTAAAGTATAATGTAAATGTTTACAATAAACAACAAACATGCAACTAACCTTCGAAAAAATAAAATTCATACCAAAATACAATGTGAGTGTTCGCAATTTATAATTAACATACAAGTAGCCTTAAAAAAATAACACATACCAATGCAAACATTTACACTGCAACGTGAAAACATAAAACAAAATTGAAAAAAGTGAGAATCGACTATTTAAGTTGTTCAATGATAATAAAAATGATTGTTTAACTAACAATTATAGTGACAAAAATAACAAATATACAATTAACTTTGAAAAAACAAAAGTCATATCAAAATACAATGTAAATGTTCACAATTTACAATTAATATACAACTAGTTTTAAAAAATGGCAAATTATAAACACCCCCTCGAGATTTGGTGAAAATACAGATTCCCCCATGAGGTTTGAGAAATTACATCCCACCCCCTGAGGTTTATATTTCCATAACAAATTGCCCCCTGAAGTTTTTATTTTCATACAGATTCCCCCTTAATTTCCTCTAATTTGTCATGACAATTTGACCCTCAGGGGGTAATTTGTAATTTCTCAAACCTCAGGGGGGAATCTGTATTTTTACCAAACCTCGAGGGGGTGTTTGTAATTTGCCCTAAAAAAAAAAAACTCATACCAATGTGAACATTCACACTGCAACGTGAAAATATAAAATAAAATTTTAAATGATTGTTTAACTAACAATTATAGTGACAAAAATAACAAATATACAATTAACTTTGAAAAAACAAAAGTCATATCAAAATACAATGTAAATGTTCACAATTTACAATTAATATACAACTAGTTTTAAAAAATGGCAAATTATAAACACCCCCTCGAGATTTGGTGAAAATACAGATTCCCCCATGAGGTTTGAGAAATTACATCCCACCCCCTGAGGTTTATATTTCCATAACAAATTGCCCCCTGAAATTTTTATTTTCATACAGATTCCCCCTTAATTTCCTCTAATTTGTCATGAAAATTTGATCCTCAGGGGGCAATTTGTAATTTCTCAAACCTCAGGGGGAATCTGTATTTTTACCAAACCTCGAGGGGGTGTTTGTAATTTGCCCTAAAAAAAAAAAAAACTCATTCCAATGTGAACATTCACACTGCAACGTGAAAATATAAAATAAAATTTTAAAAAAGAGCAAATTACACTGACACCCTCTGAGATTTATGTTTATTACAGTTCGCCTCCTCACCTTTTGGAAATTACATCTCCTCCCTTGAGGTTTAAAGTTTCATTACAGATTCCCCCTTTCAGCAATTTAATTTTTTTAAATACCAATTTTGCCCTCATTGGGTAAATTACATTGACACCCCTCATATTTTAGAAATTACAATCCCCTCCCTAAGGTTTAAAGTAGCATTACCAATTGCCTCATCGGTTAGTATTAGTTGGAAAAAAAATTCATTGAAAAAAAATTCATTAGAAAAAAAATTATTTGAAAAAAAAATTAATTGAAAAAATTTTTTGTTAATAAAGTTTTTAAATTTTTGTTTAAAAAACCAACGTATGCTCATTTTTTGAATTTACATTTTTTTCTTAAATTTACAAACTGAGACAACCATTTATAAATCAAAAAAATTATCAAACAAGTTTTTATGACATTTTTTTAAATTTTTGTAAATATAAATTGAAAACTGAAAACGAAATAGTACCAAACAGGCTTGGTGGTAAAAATGTCGTACAATTAACAAATAATTAAATAAGTTACCAACGTAAGAAATGACTTATCAAAAGATTATTAAGCTATGTATGGTTTGATTTTTAGAATTTTTTTTAAAAAATTAAAAAGTAATTTGGTTAAGAAATAAAAAATAATTATCATTTTTATATAATTTTTATCTTTCGAGTGGTTAGAAATAATTTTTTACAAATTAAATTGAAATAACCATACATATGTCTATAACCTGTCCAAAAGTTAAAATGATAATAATTTTTTACCCTTAAATAATAATAATTTTTTATTTTTATTTCTTAACCAAATTAGTTTTTAAATTTAAAAAAAAAATCTAAAAATCAAATCATACATAACCTAAGAATTTTTGATAAGTCATTTCTTACGTTGGTAACTTATTTAATTATTTGTTAATTTTACGACATTTTTACCATCTATATAAGGCATGTTTGATAACCATTTCGTTTTCTGTTTTCAATTTATATTTACAAAAAATTTAAAAACTGTCATAAAATATTTTTTGATAATTTTTTTAGTTTATAAATGGTTGTCTCTATTTAAAAAATTTGAGAAAAAAACGTAAATTTAAAAAATAAGTTTACGTTGGTTTTTAAACAAAAAATTGACTAACAAAATTTTTTTTCAATTAATTTTTTTTTTCAATGAATTTTTTTTCAATGAATTTTTTTTTCAACTAATACTAACCGATGGACCAATTGGTAATGCTACTTTAAACCTTAAGGAGGGGATTGTAATTTCTAAAATGTGAGGAGTGTCAATGTAATTTACCCAGTGAGGGCAAAATTGGTATTTAAAAAATTAAATTGCTAAGGGGGAATCTATAATGAAACTTTAAAGCTCAAGGGGGAGATTTAATTTTCAAAATGTGAGGGGAGAATTGTAATAAATATAAACCGCAGGGGGTGTCAGTGTAATTTACCCTTTAAAAAAAGTGAAAATATACTATTACGATTATTCAATGATAACAAAAATGATTGTTCAAACAACAATCATAATAAAAAAATAACAAAATACAACTAACTTTCGAAAAAATTTCAAAAAAAAAACTCATATCAAAATCAGGGCTGGCCCTAAGGGCAGGCAAAAGAGACCTACGCCTTAGGCCCCCAAATTTGGGCTAAAAATAGAAGGCCCCAAATAGAATTGTGTTTTAGTTATTAAAAAAAAAAAGCCCAAATATTATAGGCCCAATTGAACATGAGGCTCAAAAAAAAGCAACAAGACTAGATTTTTATTTTTTTAAGTATTTGTAATGATTGCTTCTATCTTAATATGTGAAAGTAAATTTTTATTTATAATTTTAATGATTATATATGTAAGTAAATTTTTTTGTGGTTACAAACAAATAAAAAAATTGTAACTTATTGTTTTATCCATGAATTTTTTTTTTTCAATGTAAGAGGGCCTCATTTCTGAAGTGTTGCCTTGGACCCCCTAAATCTCAAGGCCGACCCTAATCAAAATATAATGTGAATGTTCACAATTTACAATTAACATACAACTAACCTTAGAAAAACTAAATTCATACCAATGTTAACATTCACACTGCAACATGAAACAAAATTGAAAAAAAAAAAAAAAAAAAAAAGACTATTTCAATTGTAAATTGTTTAATGGTAACAAAAAATGATTGTTCAAACAACAAGTATAGTAACAAATAATCAATAATATATAAACATTCACTTCTTGTAAAATATATAATTTAATCAATATCTATATTCCAACACTTATTTATCAGGCTTTCAAACAATGTGAAATGTGAACATTCACACTGATTGACAAAAAAATAAAAACAATAACAACAATGGAATTAGAAATTAAATAAATAAATAAAACTCAAACACTTTAAAAACAAAAAAATATATATATCACCCACATCATCATCTTCATCGTCATCTTTATCATTATCACTACATTAACAATTTATGCAATTTCACCATTCCACTAATCCAAATAAAACCTACATTTGAAGAATATGTTTGTAACAAAATTGATTGGACATAAACAGAGTTTCGACTTACAACAATGAAGAAACATAAAGTTTCGAACACAGAGCAACAATAGACAAACATAGAACTTCAAACACAAAATGATAATAGAGGAACACAAAGTTTCCGATTAAAAAGAAAAACGTGAATAATAGTAAGTACCAAAATTAAAAAAAAAATTAAAAAAATTCAACAATAAACATAATGGTATAATAGTTCAACAAATAATATAAATTAAGAAAAAAATGCATAAAATATAAATATAAATACATAGGACTAATTAGGTTATAATTTTTCTTAGAATAATGTTTGGTAGCTCGAGGATTCCCCCCCCGAATCCCCCTAATGCCAAAAACGACGTTGTTTTGGACATTAGCCTTTTTTTTTTCTTTTTTTTCTTTCATTTTCGATCAGCTCAGGAACGGGAGGAGAGAAAGAGAAGAGAGAAAGAGGAGAGAAAGAGAGAAAGAGAAGAGGGAATGGAGAGGACCCCTCATTGCCGCCGCCGACCTGCCGATCGTCTAGCAGCTCCGATCGTCGCAGCAACAGCTCCGCCGTCGCAGCCCCGCCCCTCGCAGCCCCTACCTCTGCCGCCTCCGCCCCTAGCCTCCGCCTCAACCCCATTTGTTGGGCCCCCTCCAGTCCTTCGTCCTCCTCCTCCTTCTTCTTCTTCCTGCTTTTGATCTACACAAAAAAAAAAACAAAAACAAAAACAAAAACAAAAACAAAACAAAACAAAATCGGCGTCGTTTTTGGTTCGGGGGAGAGAGGTTTCGAGGTACGTAGCACTGCCGTTTTTCTTAATAGACTTATTAGGTTAGAACACTACTATATAGAATTTATCAATAAAAAAAATCCTTTAAATTTTCAATTATTTTTTTTAACATTTTAAAAAAAATGACACAATTTTAATATTTTGACATGCATTTTTTATTTTACTTTTTTTACCCTTTCTTTCTTTTCTCCTCCAACTCTTTCTTTGCCCGCTGCAAACAACCAGATCCTTCAGCCGCCGTCCACCACCGCCCCAACCCTTCCAACGCCACCCATCAACTTCCCCCCTAACTCCGCAGTTCTCAAGAAATCGAAAAAGATGATTTTGAGGTTCCAATTTCACAACTCAAGCTCTGGATATGAATCCACAAGCTTCTTCTTTTGACCTCTGCAACTGAGCTTCCATCATCCAAACACTCTCAAACCCACCACATGGTCTGAACCCACAATCTCAAAACTTTCAAAACCCCCCTCAAAACCCTAATCTTCATTCAGATTCTAAGCTTCAGGGGACTGGGTTTGTCATATAAATGTATGTTCAGATCATTCATGTCTTTTATATGATTGTGTTTGTGATATGTATTTGTTTTGTAATAGATTGTGTTGTGTGTGTTTGATGATCAGTAGAAGAGAAAGATTGAAGATGACCCAACAACAACAACAACAACAACCATCAGTGATCCTTGCAACCGCTAGCTATGATCACACAATTCGATTCTGGGAGGCGAAAAGCGGCCGGTGCTATCGAACTATCCAATACCCAGAATCGGTATGCCCATAAATCCTCAATGCCACATATGTTTGTTATTTCAATACATTTATGTTACCTTGTATAGTTTGATCATAATTTTGATAGTTATTTGACCAGTCACAGGAATGTTTTTAGGGATTCATTGATCAGAGATTGAAAATTGTTAATTAACTTAGTGAAATTTGATGTGTACAGCAAGTTAATCGGCTCGAAATAACCCCTGATAAAAGGTACCTGGCTGCAGCTGGAAATCCCCATATTCGATTATTTGATGTTAATTCAAACAGCCCTCAGCCGGTATATATCTCCTTCACTTTCTAGTTCATGTTTGTGCCAATATACATTTGCTTTTATTTTATTTTATTTTTTGAATAGGATTATAGGTTTTGTGGGCTGATTAAAAAGAATTGTTCTTGTGACAGGTGATGAGCTACGATTCACATACTAATAATGTTATGGCAGTGGGGTTTCAATGTGATGGAAATTGGATGTATTCTGGCTCTGAAGATGGCACTGTAAAGATTTGGGACTTGAGGTACTTTCTCTAAAGATTGCAATGCAAATAGATGATTGTGATTCTTCTTTATTTAATTTTTAAAATTTTTGCTTTATATTAGATATAAAACTAGAATTGTTCTTGTTTTCAATGAGAACAGGGCTCCAGGTTGTCAGAGGGAATATGAAAGCCGTGCAGCTGTCAACACTGTTGTTTTGCACCCAAATCAGGTATGGTTACAATTTATTTATTTATTTTACTTTTCTTAGTTGATGTATGTTTTGCCCATAGTTCTAGAAGAGTTTGTTTGATTTCAATAGTCAGGAAAGGCAATGAAAACATGGAGTATTATCATATGTATACATGCTGGGGTTAGATTGTTTATATGGGTAACATTTCTTTTCTTTCCTGTGGACTTATATGGGAGTAAAATGTGGCCTCAGTGTATTCTCATTGGCAAATTACAGTTTGTTAGTGATTTTAATAAGCATTTGCATGTAGTTTTTCCACCAACTTGCACTGTATATTTTTGGGGATCTTTACAAAACTGGAGAAACTATAATGGTATTATTGGTACAAGTTGAAGGAATTGTGTCTTGTACTTTTTGGAGAATGTCGTGGGTTCAAAAATTTCTTTCTGGGGCTTTCGTAAATGAAAACTGAAATGGCACTGGCATGATAATATTTTGAACTGGCTTCCTTAGATCATGGTTTTCCTAATAGCTAATCATTATCTTCATGCTACAGCCTTATGAAAACAAGTTTTGTTTTGTCATTTAGATAATAAGATTAGGAGTTTGATTTGGTGCCTAGTTCAAGATAAGGTCCACTTGAAAGACTTCTTTGGTCTATTATCTTTTATTACTTCCTAAAACAATAGAAGTACTTTTCTAACTGTTTACTTTTCCTACACAGGATTCAACTTTTCATAGACTGCCCTTGTTTGTACATCTTATGAGTTTTTCATGGTTTTGCAGACTGAGCTGATATCAGGGGACCAAAATGGAAATATTCGTGTGTGGGATTTGACAGCAAATTCATGCAGCTGTGAGTTGGTATGTGCTCAATATGTATATTTTTTTAATTATTGGATAGGAGTCGCATTATATAGTTGGCATGGCATTTTTTAGTGTTGTTTGGATTGGTTTTCACATGGAGACGTGTGTGCTTGGATAAATAAGGCTGTAATATAAAGGGACAGATTCTTAAACTCTATAGGCTTGTCAACAAGTTTAAGCCTATGCACTGAACTGGTTCCCAGTCAATCCAGGTGTGTGAAATAAAGGTTTCTTATATTAGTGCCTCTATAAATAAAATTAAAATAAAAAAACATCAGGCTTTTGGTTATATTCCGTTAGGATTTAAGGAAGGATTTATGAAGGAAAATGAAAAGGAAAGGAAAAGTGAAAAACATTTAGCTTCAATTTTTGTTAGTTTTCCCCCCTCCTTTTCTTTCCCTTCATAAATCCCTCCCAACACAGTGTACTCTCTCTTTCTTTATATATGCACTTGTGTGTATGTATTGAAAAACCTATATTAAGATCTATAGGGCGCACTCAGGTACCAGAGGTTGATACAGCTGTGAGGTCTCTAACAGTGATGTGGGACGGGAGCTTGGTTGTTGCGGCAAACAATCGTGGAACATGTTATGTGTGGCGCTTGTTGCAAGGGACGCAGGTAGGCGCTTGATCAATTTAATTCTGCAATTATTTTGGTTTTGCAGCCAACACAGCCATTTAACATTTTGTTAAACCTAATTTGTGTTATAACTAATACTGCAGACCATGACCAATTTTGAGCCGCTTCATAAGTTACAAGCACATGATGGCTACATCCTGAAATGTCTTCTCTCACCCGAGTTTTGTGAGCCCAACCGGTTAGATTTGTTTTGTTATTATACAATTTATTTCTTCTTCTTTTTTTTTTCCCAATTAGCTTCCATTCTTACCTTTTTAAAAAAAAAAGAAAAGAATAAGCCATAAAAATTACGATAATAAGATGTCATATTTATCTCCTTAAAATTATGTTTATAGGTATCTGGCCACAGCATCTGCTGACAATACGGTTAAAATATGGAATGTAAGCGGTTTTACCTTGGAGAAAACTCTAAGAGGTGTGTGTTCGAGCCACATCCAAACACTCGTTTTCTTTTGCTAATTACTGTTAGTTTTAACAACATGAAGTCTTCTTCAAGCTCTGTAATATTGTTCTTATTGGTTTATGTTTCCAGGACATCAACGCTGGGTCTGGGACTGTGTTTTCTCTGTGGATGGTGCTTATCTCATCACAGGTATTTAAATGGGAATTTGTAAAATCTGAATTTTCACATTAACGCACACCTTTCTCCAGCACTGAACCAAACTGAAAGAAAGCTTCTTAGAGATTATTTGAATCAACTACTCCAAATGTTTTCCAATGTCAACATTATTGAGGGTTGTCTTTTTAGCCACACACTGCTATTTCAACAACACAGCTCCTGCTCAATTTGTATACATCTAAATGGTAAAACTTCAGACACCAAATAAATTTTGACCTTCTAATCTAAGTTCCGTATAGGCTATGACAGACTTCTCTATGATTTGATGACTCTGAACCGACTGAGTTCATTATGGTATTTTCTTCTGCTATAATATTATTCTCTCTCCTTCTCCTTCCTCCTATTACTCTGAACACAAGAATAATTTCTTGCTAGAGGAAATGAGCTGAGTAATTCCACGAATGAAGTCAGTCTTTCTACATAGTACAACTGCAAATTCTTTATTTGTTACAAAACCACCGTCCATAGATTGTTTCCATTTTTCTTTTTTTTCTAGCTTTGGTCCAGTCCACCATCGGACTGGACCGATGGGTCTGAGCATCGTATTTACCATTCCTAGTCATAGTCTTCAGATCATCTTTCTCTCTCTCTCTCAAATGAAGCTTACTTATCAATTTTTTATGCCTGCAGCTTCTTCTGATACAACGGCAAGACTTTGGTCCATGTCAACTGGTGAAGGTATTAGAGTGTATCAGGGGCATCACAAAGCAACCATTTGTTGTGCTCTCCATGATGGAGCTGAGCCTTCTGCTACCTGATTATGGAATTCAGCTTTCAACATCTTGGTTAGTATTTCAAAATGTTGGCTGGCATGTTTGTGCATCCTTGTGTGTGAATGACACATTCATCTATTAAAGATGAGGATATTACAACATTCATTAAGCGCAGATAGAATGTAAATCGTTAATGGTTGGGGTTTTTTTCTGTCTTAATTTCTTGGGTATGATTGTTGGGGGACAATTCTCACATGCATGCTTTCACGGTCATGTTAGCATTCCATTTTGTTCTCCCATTCTCCACCTTCTCCTAAAAGAGAAATGATAGTTGCACAAAATTTAGAACACAGAAAATGCACAGAAAGTAGAACGTGTGTGGCTGAGATTCATCTGGAGTGTTACATAGGCCATGCTTAAAATAAATCTGAACCACACAATGCACTTCTTGTACATTTTCTGTATCTTAATTTTGTGCATTATGTAGCACTGTTGCTCCTAAAATGGATCTATCCATCACATGCAGGGGGAGAAAAGTTGCATCGTTTATTTCCCCGATCCTTTTTAGTTTTGGCGAAAGTACAGTGGCCAAAGAATCACTAGCTTACACTCACCCGAGTAGAGCATGGGACTTGGAATCCCGTGTGAATAATTAATGAATACTGTGCAAGGCTAAATACTCCTATGTGACCGATTTGTGTTGTGTTGTACTCATGTTGACGTTAGTGTTAATATGTTTTGGGCTGCCCACCCAACCCCTATGCTCTCAATGGTGCCTAACTGATTTAGTATGCAGGCTTCTCGATTAAACAATGCTGTCAAGGATGACAAAACTTTTTTCTCTTATGCCAGTGATAGAGGAGGCTCAGATATCAACCTGGACAAAGTGGAACAAGTTGGAAGTTTGATATATTCGGTATTTTTTTTATCGTTTTGTTTTCATTCTCAGATGTTCATATTTTTTCCGGAATTTTGGAGATGAGAAATGATAGATTTGTAATAACAGATTTGTTTAGTATCATGTTTATTTCCTCTGAATTTATGATACTGAATAAGACCATTTGAATTTGTCCAGAAGCACCTTGCAAACTTACTAATAATTGTTGTTAATTACAATAAAATAATATATGGAAATCAACATTAATCATCGGAATTTGGAATGTCACGAAAAAAATTTGACAAAATACTCTCGTCCAATGCTAGGTCAGAAATATTAGGAGGAATAGGTCCGGGAATCTTCCACATGCACGATTGGCTTAGAAAATAGGGTTTAATTTTGTGCGTCCGATTCTTTCTTCCTCTTCTTTTTGTCATTCCAAATGAGAAATTTCTCTGATTTTTCTCTTGGGGGTGTTTCTTCAGGGACATCCGATGAATTTGGAATATTTACGTTGTGTTTGGTTGGGGGATTTAAAGAGGGATTTGGAAAGGGAAAGGGAAAAGAAAAAGTTAGGTGAAATGTGAATAAAATATATCTATATTTCACCTAGTTTATATATTTTTTCTCTTTTTCTTTTCAAATCAATCTCTAAATCTCCCAACCACACACAACATCAAAGTATTAGTTTCTTTCATATTAATTGTATTAGTTTTGGGTTTAGGTTTTTTGGGTTGCGAAACATCGCTTGAAAGAAATTGAATGCTTTGGTTGTCTGGCTTCTTCAACATATTTGTTATGATAACTCTGCGCTAGCTCGAACTATTTTTTCAATAAGCTAAGCTAATCGGGTTTAAATTGAAAGAGACAGAAATCTATTTCCTTCTTTTTGGTCAAAGATATTAGAATCAACACTTAAATGCAATTTAATTTTTAAATTTGATGATGTTTTGACGTGTAAATATAAGGGTCTAGCTTTGGTCCAGTCCACCATCGGACTGGACCGTGCTGCTGGGCTCGTGGAGGTTCTCCACAGTTCTCATTTTGAAAATCTGAACCGTCAAATGTGTAGAACTCTTCGAGTACTATATGTCTGTAAAAAATCACGTTGATCGGATATCGATAGTCATGTGATCAGATCAGTTTTGTATAAAAAAAAATTGACGGTGAATAAATTAACGGTTGACAAAAAATTGATTTGATCACATAGCTATCGATATCCGATCAATGTGATTTTTTACAAGCATATAGTACTCGAAGAATTCTACACATTGAACGGTTCAAATTTTCAAAACGGAACCCGTGGTGACCCCTACGAGCCCAACAGCACGGTCCAGTTCGATAGTAGACTGGACCAAAATCAGACCCTAAATATAATGTGATATATTAATAAATAACAAGTAAATCTTATTAAAATCAATACAATAAGTCGTCAAAAAAAATAATCAATACAATAATAACACATGATGTGATAAATAAGTCATTGATTTTTATTTTTTACTTCCACTACAAAATAAATAATAGAAGTATTTGTTGGAATTAATATCCTTGGTTTTGTAGATTTTTTTCACACACAATTAATATCGTGCCTTTTATTACTTTAATTAAATAAATAAATAAAAATTGTTGCTAATTACAATCAAAGAATATCATATATGGAAACCCACATTAACCATCAAAATTTGAAATTTCATCAAAAAAAAAAAAAAAAATTGAAAAAATACTCTTAACCAATGACACGTCAAAGATGTTAGGAAGAGGGTTTCCTTTTCTAGCTGGGAAGTTTTTCTGATTTTTCCAATTTTAAAACATCTGAATGTGTTTCTTTTCAGATAACAGATGAATTTATAACATTCAAAGTAATACTTTCTTCTTCCTCTTGATTTCTTAGCTATATTGGTTGCGAATGAACAACGCGTGAAGAAGATTGATTACTCTGTGACATGTTGTGATAGCTCTACTCTAACTAGAATTTTAAATTTAATTCAGATATTCGATTTAGTCAGAAAATATTTGGTGCTTCAATAAGGTTGCCTTGTATTACTTAAAATAATGAATTGTAGGCCAAGTTTGGCATAATTGAAAAAAGACAAAAAGTCAAAAAGTCACTATCCTATTTAAGTCACATCATCTTATTTAAGTCACACCACCTCTCTAACACATCACTTCAAACCCAACTCAAATCCAACCCATATTTCATAAAAAGTCAAAAAGTAGACTTATTTAGTCTTCCCAAACTAGGCTTTAGTCAGAAAATATTTGGTGCTTCAATAAGGTTGCCTTGTATTACTTAAAATAATGAATTGTTGCTAATTACAATCAATGAATATCATTGTATTACTTAAAATAATGAATTGTTGCTAATTACAATCAATGAATATCATATCCTATATGCAAACCCATATTAATCATCCAAATCCGGAATATCTTTAAAAAAAATTGATAAATTAGCATAATCCAATGCTATTTCAAGGATATTATGAGGAATGGGCCCTGGAATCTCAGGCAAGCGCGATTGAGTTGAACGATTTTCTAACGTAGGAGGGGGGTTTATTTCTTCTCTTCTTTTTCTGTCTTTCCTCTTCCTTTTGTCGTTCCAATAAGGAAACTTTTTGAATTTTTCGTCATCTAAAGGCGAAGGGGCTGCATCAAGGACATCGAATGAACTTGGAACATTCAACACAGTCTTAATTTTGGGATTCTGAGTTACTGATTGCGAATGAAAACTTAGATGAGGTGGTTGATGGTTATGGTCGATAGGTTTCTTCGGTGGTCTTCCTCTCGATTTCTTAGCTATTGGTTGCAAAATGACACTTGAAAGGGATTTGCTGCTAGGGTTGTCCGGCTTCTTTTGTGGTCTTCCTCGACCACAATGCATGATTGATCCACTCTAACTACAACCTGAATGGTATAACTAACTAGAAAGGGTTTGAGGCTTCAATAGGGTTGACAGACAGAGAGAGAGAGAGAGATGGGTGTGACGGCTTATTTTATAGAAATTGTAGTAATATCCAAATCCTACAAAGAAATTGCTTCAGTTGGGAAAAAAAGAGAGAGAGAGAGAGAGAGAGAGAGAGAGTAAGAATTCAAATCCTACATGGAGTCAATTTCCTTTGTTTCTAGTCAAACAAGACTTTGAAATCCATGCAATCCTTAGATTTTCAAAAGGACAGACATAAATTAACACTTAGACTTCGTTTCTCAATTATATATTTTAATTAAAAAATTTAAAAATTATTATAAATTATCACATTACTCTCTCAATTTTCTGTATATGTTTTTATAAAAAGTTAAAAAATTACTAAAATAGTCTATTTCCAAACAAGACCTTATGCAATTTGACTTCCAAATTTGATGGTATTACGTAGTCCTCAAGGTTGTTGGGTTTCTTCTTTTTTTTTTGATAATTTTTTTTACCTTATTTTTTATTTAGTAATTTTTTTTTAAATTGTCAAAAAAAAATTAATTTCTAAATTCTACTCGACGAAAGGAACTGAAATTTTTTTTAAAAAAATTAAAAAATCCAAAAACTTAAAAATAAACCAAAAATAGTGAACCTTTTTATACTTATTTTTGACTTTTTTCAAAAAATTCTTACTTTTTTTGGGCACCAGGCAAAGTACCATATATATTAAGGGTATGGCTTCTGTCCAGTCCGGGATTAAATTGGACCGTACTGTTAGGTCTGTGGAGGCCTATCATAGGTCTCGTTTTGATAATTTGAACCGTAAATATGTAGAAATCGTCAAGTACTATATGACTGTAAAAAATCACGTTGATCGGATATCGATAGCTATGTGATCAAAAAAGTTTTTTGTCAACCGTTAATTAGTTCACCATCTAATTTTTTTAATACGAAACTTATTTGATCATATAGCTATCGATATCCAATCAACATGATTTTTTACAGACCTATAGTACTCGACGATTTCTACACATTGACTGGTTCAGATTATCAAAACGGGACCCGTGGTGAACCCCCACGGGCCCAACAGCACGGACAGAAGCCATCCCCATATATTAACCATAGGGGAAGGAGATTCTTACTTTTTACATTCATCTATACTAGACGGACGGTACAGTAAAGTAATATTTTGGACACAATTTTTTTTTAAAAAAAATACTGAAGACAAACAAATTCGAAAAAAATTGCCTTATTTGGAAATTCTCAAATATTCCCGAATCCAATGAAACGACAATATATATATATATATATTGGGAGAAGTTATTGGTTAGTCTTGGACACCGCCATATGAGGCCCCCAACGATGTTGTGATTAGTGCAGGGGGACATCCACGAATTTGCATTGGGTGATTTGAGAACATTAGAGGCATGATGAATTGTGATTAATGAGAAACATGGTCACGTGACGCCCTTAGACCAATTAATAATTTTTCATATATTACTGTCAACAGAAGAAGTTATAAATTAATCTAGAGACAGCACCACGTGACGCTCCACGCCTATTGCAATTGGTAGATGAGGTAATTAAAGAACATAAGTGGACATAAGAATTTATAATTAGCCTAAAATATGTTCAAATGATACTCAGAACTAACCAATAATTTTTCGTATAACAGAGTTGTGGACTCTACAGTTGGCCCTAATCCTCTTTTCATAGTTTTGGAATGAACACTTTAATCCATTAGGGAGAAGTCAAATTCTTTCTTACTTTTTTTTTGTTTCTTTTATTCATATATTTGATAATACAATAAAATCCAATTATAATCATAATAATGAAAATCAAATCAATTCAATTATAATCACAATAATGAAAATCAAATCATAACACTTAAAAAAAAAAAAACTCTCTCAAAGTGTGAAAAAATATAAAATGATTCGAATCACTAATTTCTTAGTAACCTTTTAGTGAGATACAAAGATTCTAACAAAAAGAGCTAACCCCGTTTGTTAAAAAATAAGTCCTATTAAATCAATACAGCGGTTAGACATTAATAAATAAAAATCTAGTCCTATTTTAAATAAATAAAAAGCTAGTCCTATTAAATTAATATAATATATGATAAATTTTGGTCACCATAGAATTTCTATCGACCAAAATGCCTAAAAGATTTACTACTAAGTGCATTGAAGAAGTGGACCTCACACAAGATGAGACCCATTAAATACATAGTCCCACTCCATGTGAGAGAATTGCGTCCGATTTTGTAATTAAATTATGTATACACTCCACAGAGGGGAGAAGGAACAAGAAGGAAAACTCCTAGACATTTCAGGTATACAAATATAACCTAAACTGAAATGGCAATCAATGAATGATACAAAAGTAATCCATGTGGTGGTACAAAAACTAAGCACAATGTCACCCCACTTGAGAAAAGGAAAAAAAAAAAAATTACATGTTTTTTAAAGGATAAACACTATTATCGTCTAATGCCAAAGATGAACCAGACAACTATGATGTCTGGAAAACAAGCTGAGAGACCTACTTGTGTTTATCTTGTCCTGTTCTTGAAGGCTCTCCTCCGTTCTTGGGCTTCACTGGGGTGACCTTGGCAGGAGTTGAGCGCTCCGACTGAGAGAATTGGATCAATATCTGCATAAGGACCGTAACAATGGCCAACCCAATTGCCGAGAATGTCATACCCTTCCATGTGGATAGAAGTGAAGTCCACTGGAAGAATTTTAAGGCCCCAAAAATGAGCAGACATCCCCAGGAGATAATGACCTGTGATTCACACATTGGTAATTATTGTTGGTTCAACACTTGCAACCTCTCTCTCTCTCTCTCTCTCTCTCTCTACAAACAAAAAAGAAAAATAGAACAGATATATTACCACAAGAGACTTTATGGGCCGACCCATATCTTGTTCTTGCTCACTAAAAATGTCCTCAGCTATATGCTTGTCTAATAACTTATCCTGGTAAAGTCAAAACCATACTGTGAAGAAATTACAAGAATTCACACCATATGCAACCAGACGAATTACTCGTAAAGGTGTCATAAATCAGTGTAAAGCTATTACAGAAGTCATATACACAATTATACATGCGCGTGTTTCCACATATCCTCTAGCTTAAGATATTTTCCCAAGGAAAAATAAACTTGAAAAACCACTAAAAAACTCAACAAATTAATAAGACAGAAGAGTGTGTGCACCTTGGCCACAAACATATCTCTGCACCATTGGGCGACAGCATCATCTGTTTCAGGCAAATCCTTCATTAAATGCCGCTTGAGGTGTACATGCATCTGTACAACAGCGAATCCTTAACATTTATACTCATAAATTGGGCATCTTAATATCATGACAAATTTCTTTAACTAATAATTTATTCCATTATGCTAAAGCTATGCTGCTAATCACATAAATTCAGTTATCACTATGGTCTTTCAAACTTCAAAAAATGGACAAAAAAAAGAAGAAAGATCAGGATTATATGATACTACTTCAAATTGAATTCCCACAATGTTTGGGATGATGGCTACATATAGCTCTTTCTTCCTATGATACAACTTTTCACACTTAAAATTGATCGAGCATTAAAGACCCATTAGTATGTCCAGTGCAGTGTTTTTAAAGGCTCAAAGCGCACTAAGGCACTGAAGGTCTCTCGGGGCATAGGCACAAGGCGCAAGGCAAGGCGCGGGCTTTATTGAAGTAAGGCGCACAGTCTTAGTAAAAAATAAAAAAATTAACATAGACTAATCATTCATAGTACTAAGACAATTTTTTTAAAAATAAAAAGTAATCAAGATTCAAGACAAAATATAAAATAATTCTCAAAGCCATGAAAGTGCATATTACATAACATTCCAATTTTCAAAGATAAAATAATCCACATTCAATAAAACAAAAACATAAACACTAAAACATCCAAAAAATAAATATCCAACAAATACTAAATATATGTCTTAATACTTCAAAACATCAATATTAAATTTAATAAATGAAAAATAGTTTCAGTGTAATGTAATGTGTGATGAATTAATTATTTGTAAATTTTTTTTCCCTAACAGATAAAGAAAAAAAAAAAAGACCAATAGCACATTGTATTAATTAATTATTTGTATTTTTTTTCAGTGTATTTTTTTTTTTGTATTTTTGAATAATTAATTATTTGTATATTTTTTTTCATTAATTATTCTCATTTTTTTTTTCTTCCTTCTAATAGATACTAAAGGCATAATTGAAAAAAAAAAAGAAAAAAAAAAGGGGGCAAAATAGAGTCAGAGTCGAAGCCCAGGCGAGAGAGAGAGTGAGATCAGAAGACTAGAAGAGGTCGAAGCCAAAAAAAAAAAAAAACACATACCAGTCGAAGTCACGAAGTCGAGCAGACCAGAAGAGGAGGAGAAGAAGAAGAAGAAGAAGAAGAAGACGGCGAAGCATACCTATGAAGTCGAAGTCGAAGTCGAAGTCCAGCAGAGTCAAAGTCGAAGTGGAATCGAGCAGCCCAAGCAAGGCGAGAGAGGAAAAACGACATAGATTAGGGTTCAGAGCCATTTGAACACACCCACGCAGCCGTTAGATCAGATCTAGCTGCTAAAAACTCAAGCGCGCCTAGTCGTGTGCCTTGCGCCTCTGTCGCCTGGCTCAAGTCGCGGCTAAGGCGTGAGCCTATCTCAAAGCGCCTCGCCTGGGACCTGTACAGGCCCAAACAGTGCGCCTCGCCTCGCTTGGCGCCTAGGCGCGCTTTTCACAACACTAGTCCAGTGAAATGTCTACATGTTGATATTAATTTTATTTGATATGTTGAAATAAATAGGAAAGTGCCAGAAGAGGGGGATAACCCGTTCACTTGTACATGGTTCCTGTCAATTTTCTTGGTTGCTTACATATACATATCAAGAAGTGGACTTTCAGGTTTGAAAAAAGCATTGAGTTGAACGATCTTGATAAAGTTCAAAATTTTACCTCGCATCATGAAACAATTTCAAAATTAACTCAGAAACCACAACACAAACCGACAAGTTTCAAAACCAAATTCAAGTGCTACCACATGTGCAAACTTTTTTAATGCCACTTTTAAAAACTTGCTATCATATACTTACCACAGAAGACTTCCCCTTGAAGAGCCTAAGCATTGTAGGTGGAGGCGAACTTTTTGGAATAGCAACAGTCACTTCATAAATGGCCGGAACAAATGAGCGCATCTCACTTACTGCTGAAACAAAACCCTGAAAGCATATAAATAGATTCTTCACATCAGACCCAATAATGTGCAAAATATCAGACACAAAGACGGACATTGGAAGATGTAGTAGCAAAACTAAGGAAAGTTTATAACAGCCTCATCTTGAGTATACATTTTATAATTTAATTTTATTGAAAATTTACTTCCAATATTTTATGTACTACAAATGAAAATCCAACCATAACATAGGGAAACCCTTTGCTTAGAAGGTTTAAGCCTCCAAATTTAGCCACAAACTAAAACCAGAAGTGCACAATTTTGCACACAATCAACAGGTACACATGTGGATATTTACAGAAGAAATTTTAGACACTTAGTGGGAAGCAAGTTGTTCACAAACTAGCCAGAAGAAAATGGATTCAAAGAGAAACCAGGAAATTACATCAGGGGAAAATGCAGCCTTCTACCTTATAAAGAGGTGAAACAAAAGTATTACCTTGGTACGAGGAATCAAAACATTTCTAGGAACAGGCAACCCTGCTGAAGCTGCATACTCCTGAGCTGCTTTAAGCTTTGCCTGTGTAAAGCGAGTTCCTTCTACAAAAAGTGCCAACCAAAACGGCCGAGGAAAATCCTGTAACTGCTGAAGACCTGACTGCAGATTCAATCCCACAAGATTTCAATGAGATCAATTAAGGCCCCTTGAAAGCGAGCATTACAAACCTACAAACACATAGCACTTGTTCAGAAATGTATTAAGTATGCCCATACCTTTAAAGTTTTTTCATCCTTAGCCCAGCTTCTTTCAAGAAATAGATACTCAGAAAACCACATAGACCAACCTATGACCTGCATATGTTGGATATAGCTTTATCCTTCTGAATATATCTTTGAAGGTATTGAGATGTTCAAAAGACAAGGCAAATGATAATGAGTAAGGGACATGATATGTAAACAGTAATAAATCATAAATAGAGGAGAGGAGACAATAGAGCAATGATCCAAACTTGTTATAATTTCATGTATTTTAAATACAGATCACAATAAACCTTCACTGAAAGTAGTAATGCAAAAGGTAAGCAACATTTGTCAACCAAAATTCCCAAAAAACAAAATTTGTTGATCATACTTGGATATAAAAAAGTTAAAACATCACTTTGTGACAGTTGAAAATATTATTACGTCAACTTTTCTGCTTTATGTCCTTAAATTTATCGTGAACTTGAGTCTCCCTCCACTCACAAAATATACCGTTACTAGAGATAATATGTAACAAACAAGGCCCACAAAGTGCATCAAAGCACCAAATTCACGAATTAACATGCATTGAACTTTCGAGACAAAAGGCCACTCCATCAAGAACTGAACTGGCATGATCTGAATTTAACTAATTAACTTAAAATGCTTCACCTCAACCACATTTAGAGAACATGTCAAGTTCAGATTCTTACCGGAAGGAATTTTGATGATTTCTTCATTACAGCTAATGCACTACCAAGGCAACCTGATCGCTGCTATAAGGAATTTTGACAAATAATAAGTGAAAATCATAATTTCTTTTTTTTTTTTTAATAAGTGGAAACGTAGTATAAAGCAAAGATTACAATAAAAACATTCTAAATAAGACAATATAGCAAATTTTAAACTGTCATTTGCCGAAAGAAATATGTTTAATCTGCAAACATGAGAATGCCTCTATATGTCTACCAACATAACTAATGTGCATATGCATGTCTGTGCTTGTGAATGCACATGTATAAAAGAAAACTGCATGCTAGACAAGCATTCATATGCATGTCTCTGCTTGTGAATGCACATGCATAAAAGAAAACTGCATGTCAGACAAGCACCTGAGCCAAAAGCCATCCAACAAGCCAATCAATGTCGCTTTTGTGATTCGATACGACAAGTGCATGTTCTTTACCTAGAAAATTTGCCAACATAAGCCAACGAAATAAGCTTCTCAGTCTAGTCCAGTAAAGAATAGCTTTTATCTGTCAGATAAATAGTAGCACATTGTACTCAACCAATAAGCAGTTTAGCCTTACCCATTAATCGAAAAGTTTCTGAATCTGTGAAGAGTTTAATCTGCAGCAAGAAGTAACTAACTATCAACAAGTGGAATTTCAACAGATTACACACAATAAATCATAAAAACTCAGATCACAACTAATGCCTATCCTGTTAATGGATCAGTTTCTTAGCGCAGTAAATCAATTCTACAACTAAAACAATGAGATTTCATATATATTCAAAAATTACTGCAACAAAGGTATTAAAATTGGAGTACATTCCAGGCATCATTACTGTAATTTGTGCATTTTATTTCTCTTAAACATCTTCTTGAGCACTAATTGACCTTGAAGAGAAAAATAAATTTTATGACTTTGAAAAGCCATTCTCTCTTAGGTAGCAACTGAAAATGGTGATGCTGTAAAATATGCTCCGAGATTTAGGGAAGAGAGTGCGTACCATCGAATGAAGTTCTCAGCGGAAAACAGACGCCGCCGAAGGATCCTCTTTCTAGGAGGTCATTCGTTTGAACTCGAGGAGGAGGAGGAGGAGGACCAAATTGGGCGCCGCCGCTTGTCGATTGTTGGACAGGGGCAAGGCCTCCAAAGGGCAATCGTTCTATGTGGCTTTGAAGTGAGTTGGTTGTGCTCCAAACTCCAAAAAGCATCCCGGGATCTAGGTCGATTGGCATTTTTAGGCCACCTTGTTGGCTGCACACGTACGGTGGCTATGTGGCTCAAGGGGAGACTGATGGTGGCTCGTCGGTGCAGATAACGGTCACGACCGGTAACAAAAGGGAACATGTTTTCGTACCGAAATCCAATTTTGGGGATGGGTGGGACGAGGTTGCTTTAGTGGTTGAGGGTTTTGGGTTTGGGGATGGTTGGGTGAAGAAAAACAGAACTGTAGAAAAGGAGGTGCCAAAGGAGATGATCCTGAAGGGGGGGCCAGTTTCTAGGTGGGATGAGGGCGACAATGTGGTGCTCATAGAAGAAACAGAAGAGGGGTGGCTAAGGGTGTCGGATAGGGCATTAGTGGGAAGGGTGGAGGTGGCAAGCGAAAAGGGATTAGGGGTTTCGGTGGTAATCGATTGGGTGCATTGATGGTGGAAACCACACGAAGAGGTGGAGGTCCATGGGGTGGGAGGCCAATTTTTCTTGTTTATATTCTCCTCAAGGAGAGATGCAGAGGTTGTGTTGAGACGCAAATGGACCATTGGTAGGTGAGATCTAGTTTTGGACTGGTGGTCACCAGCTGCATTTTTTCAGAGTTAGCCGACGCCAAAGCAAAGTAATTGGATTCAGGTTCTAGGTCTGCCAATTCATCTTCATGGAATGGCGGCGTATCGGGCCATTGGGGATCGGTGTGGCAGCTTTATAGAGGTGGATGAGGCGATGGATTTGTTGGGTTGTGTTCGGATGAAGGTTCAAGGTTTGGCGAATGGGATTCCATCACAGATTTCACTTCGATGGGGTTCTTGGTGCTATGTTCTGCCCTCTGGTCGAAGACAGGGCCATCGGTGGAGTTTGATTTACTGACAGCAGCTCGGTGGGGTGGAGGATGAATCGGAATGGAAGGTACGGATTTGGTGCGGCAAGATCAGCAAAGTTGGCGTAGAATTGGGGATCATCTTACAATTCAGAGATTTGGGGGCCATCAAGGGTGTGATCTGCGTCCCATGCCTTTTAAGGGGAAGCGGGTTGTCAATGGGTGGAGGATCCAAAGCAACCGACCCGTGGGATTAAGCCCAATGGATCAAGGAAATAAAAAAGTCCAAGAAAAAGAAGTTGTAAGGCCTGTGGACGGCATGGTGGGCTCGATTCCAGTGGGGCCCAAGGAAATTTCTGTGGTGGGCCATGAGAACGAGGTTGGGCTCGAACCAGCAGGTCAGATGGTGGATCCCTCAGTAAGTCAGGTCCATGAGTTTCTACGCAACAGTGCCGAGCAACATCTGCCAACGATGGGGACGGTAGAAGAAGGAACAGCGACGACGGAGCAGGGGACGCCAGTGTTAGCAGCAATGTTGGGGTGCAGGGTATCGGCTTTGTCAGTGGCTTATTTGGGATTGCCATTGGGAGCGACGTTTAAGGCAACTAGAGTATGGGAAGGGTTCGTGGAACGCATTCAGCGCCGATTAGCAGGGTGGAAGAGACAATATCTTTCAAAATGAAGAAGATTGACTTTGATAAAGATTGTGTTGAGCAGCATTCCGACGTATTTTATATCTTTGCATGTTATTCCAGTGTTTGTGGTGCGGCGGATTGAGACGCTGCAAAGGGAGTTCTTATGGGGTGGTGGAGGGGAAGTTTTTAGGTATCATTTGGTGGATTGGGGGAGGATTTGCCAATCCAAAGTGGCAAGGGGTTTAGGGGTGCAGAGAATGGTAACTTTTAATAAAGCTTTGTTGGGTAAATGGATGTGGCGGTTTGCTTGGGAGTCGGAACGGGTGTGGAGAAAGGTGGTGGCGGTGAAATATGGGTTGGTTAGGGGGGATTGGGGGACTAGGGGGGTGATTAAATCTCATTGTTGTGGGTTATGGAAAGGAATTTGGTTAGGGAGAGAGTTCTTTGAACGGGTGGGGTTCCGGATAGGGGATGGGTTGAGGGTGCAATTTTGGAAGGATCAGTGGTGTGGGGCCATTTTGATGAAAGATCGTTTCCCTTTGATCTTCAATATTGCGGTGGATCAGGAGGCTATGGTGGCATCTTATTTGGGAAATGGGAATGTGGTGGTTTGGGATATTAGGTTACGACAACAAGTTCAGGATTGGGAGGTCACTCAGTTGGTGGAGTTATGGGGTTACTTGTACGGGTTGGGGGTGGCAAGAGTGGGAGAGATTGGGTTGGTGGAGGAGGATGCGTTGGTGTGGAAGGTTGGGGGGGCTAAGGGCCGTTTTTCTGTTTGATCATTCTACTGGAGTTTGGTAGGGGAGGTGGGATGGGATTTTCCTCGGAAGAGTATTTGGGTTCCGAAGGCTCCGTCTAAGGTGGCTTTTTTTATGTGGACAACAGCTTTGGGTCGGAATCTCACTCTTGATAATTTGATGCGACGTGGTCATATTTTAGTTAATAAGTGTTGTATGTGCTATGAAGATGCAAAAACTGTGGACTATTTGTTCTTGCATTGTCGTGCGACTTTTCGTTTGTGAAGATCTTTATGTTCTCTTTTTCGAATTGTTTGGGTACAATCACGGGGGATATGGGACATGTTGTGGAGTTGGCGTGGGGCTCGGGCTGGTCGTCGAAGGCGGCATGTTTGGGCTTTGGCCCCATCGTGTTTGATGTGGTTGGTGCGGAATAGACGGATGTTTGAAGACGTGTCTCATTCTGTGTCTTGGCTTTAGAGTCGTTTACTTATAGTTTTGTATAGCTTGGTTGAACGGAAGGTTGATCCACATATGTTTGCTTTTTCAGATTTTTTAGATGATGTGATTGGGTAGGAGTTGGTTTTCTCTTTTCAGTTCTCTGTATTCGTTGCATCATCTTGATACTTTATTAATAATATTTGGTTAATTATTTATCAAATATATATATATATTCAAAAATCGAAAGACCAATAAAATACATCATCTGAAGTCATTGAAAGAAGAAAGGGATCAACAAGTGCTAATGGAAACCAAGTTTGCATGTAGTTGTTGACAAGGGGTCAGAGGGCCAACTAGGGAGTGGAAGCACGCTTCACAAATGCCAGAGGCAAAGGGGATGTCCCGTGAAAAACAGCATCCCAGCATAGTGAGAGAGGCAACAGAGCACCATAGAAACAAAGACACAATACGGAGCTCAAGGATGACCTCTCTAAGGTTCTGTGTTGTAAAAAGGTCCACTGATGTAAGGAGTACTACCTCTTATATATAGGAGGAGGGTCACATGACCCATAACAAATTCTTGGAATATTCAGAAATTCTGTTATGATATGCCAGGTCATGTGTCATAACATACCAATCCATTAGGATTTGCCTTTATTCCCTAGTCTCCATACACCAGTCTGAATAAATTCTGTGAGGATGAGATCACACCCATAAAATCATAGAAACCAATATCACAAGCAATAACTCAAAACAAATAAGAGCACGTTTAAGATGATTCAACGGCTCCTCTGCACCTTGACTGGCAAGCCAATGCCTAGTAGTTTTGCTGCACTTTAACTGCTAATTGCTCCCTAAGCAAGTCCCACAACTAGAAGCTCCATAAATTATGTGACAGGCCCCATATGCACCAACAGCATCGTTCAAAGCTAAGTAGCATAGAAATGGAAACTGGACAGTGGGCAGAAACACAGCTATATCACAAATCCTTAAAAAGTAGGACATCACCATGGCAAAGCTATTGCAACATATACATACAACTCTTATTTAACGTTAATTATAAAAGTATACTGCCCATCAATATATATAAAAGTATACTGTATATTACTTTGTTAATTCTCTAAATCTCCATATTGCAAATTTCATAATTTGTAGGATGAACATCAAGGAGTTACTTTTGATTTTATATATTTTGGACTTCACAGTTTTGTGATTGCCCATCAAATTGTTTTTTAATCAAGTGCATGTACCAAAAGGGTTCTGCCCAACTGCAAGATAACTGTTGTAGTATCGGAATTATAGCGGGTTTAGTCAAAGTTTGCCCCAAAACAAAAACATAAAGAGAAACAATCAATGTGCTTAATGTGAAAAATACATAAACAAAGCTAACTGATCAAGTTATGTAAATATGGGGATATGTTATCACCTGAACCCCAGCCCACCAATCAACAAGCCATACAAGCTCCAGCCACAACAATTCCGCCACTACTCTGTTAATTTTTCTGTAAGTATTCTTTGACAATGGCCGAACAAGTACAAAACAAATTGCCTGAAAAGAGAGGGCTTGCAATCCATTAGATTAAACAAGTCAGTGTTTCTCTAAACCACCCCCCCTTCTCAACCCACCCCACACACATGGGGGAGAGAGAGAGAGAGAGAAAACCTAGAACACCTGCAAGTTTACCAATTTTCCTTGAACTCTTTCAACAAAAGCAATCAACTTGCAACAAAGCGGTAGTAATCCATAGCCATCACAAAGAAAAACAAACAAACAAAAAAAGTAAAAACAAAGAAAATTTTCCAAAAACCACAGAAACCTTGGAGATACAAATAAAAAATTGAGCAAAACTTGACAAATTGGCACCAAACTTTACAGATAAAACCTAAGAACACCTGCAAGCAAAACTTGACAAATTGGCACCAAACTTTACAGATAAAACCTAAGAACACCTGCAAGTTTACTAATTTCCGATAAACTCTATTGCCAAATGCATAGCCATCACAAAGAAAAACAAACAAACAAAAAAAGTAAAAACAAAGAAAATTTTCCAAAAACCACAGAAACCTTGGAGATACAAATAAAAAATTGAGCAAAACTTGACAAATTGGCACCAAACTTTACAGATAAAACCTAAGAACACCTGCAACTTTACTAATTTCCCATAAACTCTATTGCCAAATGCAATCAACTTGCAACAAAACCTAGTAATCCATAGCCACAAACATTATCACAAAAAAAAAAAAACAGCCAACTTTCCAAGAATATTTAGCAAAAATCACAGAAACCACAAATTATTTTCCATAAACTCTTTCTTTTGATAAATGCAAATCAACCTGAAACATAACCAGTAATCCATAGCCATCAACATTATCACAACAAAAGCAGGCATTGAATTGGAGAGCAGTGATTTACCTGGATGAGATTGACGACGAGACCTGAGAGAAAGAAGAGAACGCCCAACGAAACGATAACAGGTCCAGCTGGAATCGCCATAACACGAGAGAGAGAGAGAGAGAGAGAGAGAGAGAGAGAGAGAGAGCAATGAATTTTAGAGAGAGAAGATTGAATAAGAGATGGGGAGTGTCAGAGAGTTGTTGCCATAATCGCCATTTCTGATTTCTAGGTTCGAGACGAGAGGTAGAGAGTTCCGGCAAAATATAGGTATCTTTTGGGAGAGTCTTACAAATATGATTTCATAATCGAGTACATTTTAGTTTATAAGATTTGAAATTATGATCCGAGTATATTGAAAAATTTGATTAGTTATGAGTTTTAAGTTGAATATTGAATGGAGTTTTGAATATTTAACGTGACATGTGAAATAAAAAAATTTATTTGATTATAAATTTTAAAAAGAATTTTTAAAATTTAATTCAAAAAGTTATAACTCATAATTAAATATACAATTCAAAATTCTATTAAAAATTTTGTTTAAAACTCATAATCAAATTCTTTTTAAAATTTACCCCCTGAGGTTTATATTTCATAACAAATTACCCCCTAATTTCTTATGCAAATATAGCATTCAGGGGGGAATTCGTAATTTCTCAAACCTCAGGGGTATCTGTAATTTTGTCAAACCTGGAGGGGTGTATATGTAATTTGCCCTTTAGTTTATAAGATTTGAAATTATGATCCGAGTATATTGAAAAATTTGATTAGTCATGAGTTTTAAGTTGAATATTGAATGGAGTTTTGAATATTTAACGTGACATGTGAAATAAAAAAATTTATTTGATTATAAATTTTAAAAAGAATTTTTAAAACTTAATTCAAAAAGTTATAACTCATAATTAAATACACAATTCAAAATTCTATTAAAAATTTTGTTTAAAATTCATAATCAAATTCTTTTTAAAATTCAATTCAAAAAAATAATTATTAAAAAAAATAACATAATTTTTTTAATTAAAAATATTACAAACAAAATAATTTTTTTTAAAAAATAAATATTCAATTACTGCTTTAAAATAACTTTGATTGTTTATTTGGTTGGAATTATTATTTTTATATATTTTTGTTAAAAAAAATCAAAAACAAAATTCTTTTCTTTTCTTTTTTTCCAAATAACCAGTGCCAATTGTCAAAAAAAAAAAAAAAATGTTCCGGTCAACTGACCGGATGACTAGCCAGACGTCCAGGTCCAGGAGGATGATCGGGTAGACCCAAATCGTGCTTTTCAAAATTCAAAAAAAACTTTCTTCTCCAAACAAAAGCTAAAATGAGTTTTGAAATGTTATATTGGAATTAATTTTTCAAGATTTTAACCAAACGAAGCATTAAAAACAGCTTTGGAATCATATTTCCAGAGCTACTCCAAACACAGTCGTGGACTTTGGCACCAAATCAAATTGCTCGCAAATGGGTCGGGTTTGGTCTGAACTTTATCAATCCATTTGTAAAACGGGTACAAAATGTGAATTTTTTTATAAAAAAAAATTGTCAAAAGTTAGTAATTAATTATTAGATTAATTTTTTAAAAAAAGTTAAAACTCACGCTCATACCTCTTGTTAAAAAATCTTACTCACTTATTTCAAAATATGGATGGTAACGGATTGGAACAATGCAAATCAAGTTAGTGGCAAGAGCGTGGCGGTAGTAAGTTTAATTTTATAACTTACAAAATATAAATATTAATAAAAATATAGATAATATAGTATATCATGGATAGAAATTTATAATTAATAAAAGTTAAAAAATAAATTAATGAAATGAATACTAAATGTAATATTTTTAATTTTATCATATTACAAAAATTAAATTATATATGTATTATATACATATAAATATATTTAATAAATATAAAAGGAAAGGGGATGGAATAAATTGGAATGGGTGAAGCGAAACTCGACTTGGCTCTATATTCTCTTTAGGACGGGAAAAATCTGTACGGAATAGATTAGGTGGGAGAAAATAACCATCCCTAAAAATTATCAATAGGTATTATTAAAATCAAAATCTAAATGCTATATTGGATACTTATATTTTCAACGTAAAAAATTATGTAATCTTTTTTAGAGAGAATTGATGATAAATTCAATCTAGAGAGAGTATAGGACATTAGGTTCAGTGGATATTTTTTTGTTGGTTTAAGGTTCACATTTTATGAAATAGTTTGGTGAGAAATCTTTTGGTTTGTTTTGAAGAACATTTTGTTTCCAATTTTAATGTTTGTGAATTTTTTTCAAAACAAATTGATAAATTTATAAAATATGAATATTTATTGAATTTTTATAAATTTTTATTTAATAATTTTTTTATAAAAAAAACAAAAATTTTATACTTTTAAAGTGTATTTAAAATAAGTGAATCTAAAAAATGAAAAATATTAATTAAAATATTTAAAAAGTTCACTAAAAACAAAACATTTAAATTGAAAATTAATTTTTAAAAATTTCAAAACCAAACAAAGTGAATATGTTTGGAAATGACTTTTTATATTAAAAAAAACGTAAATAATTAGTGAGTGCGATTAGACTATTTTAACTTTTTAAAAAAAATTTAATTTTTTAATCAAAATAAATAAATTACCAATTGAGACCTGAACTTCATCTTGATTCGTTCACAAATAAAATTTGATATTATTATAAAGTTATAGAACTAGGGATCAAATTCAATTGTATCTGTTTTTCCAAGTTGTCGATATGCATCTTTTTATTTATTTTCTCATTAGGGTTTTTTAGTTGCAAAACATTGTTAGAAATAGGTGGAACTATGTCTCCTCTCCACTATACAAATTTGGACTAAACCGTCTAATTTTTTTAGTAGGCTTAGTTTTTGGACTTGAATTAAGTAATTCACGTGATTTACATTTTAAAATTTGTTGGATAAATTATTCATATAAAAAGTTAAATTAAATATATAACGGTGTTCTAAATTAGGTTTCTATGCAAAAAAATGAATGATGAGGATAATCTTAAGTATAACTATTTATTTATTTTTAATACAAAACTATGTGGCTATCATTATTCGATTAATTTAATTTTTCACATGAGTAATTTACACAATCAATTTTAAAATATGAACAACGTATTTTATGAAATTTAGGCCTCAAAATAGGCCTGCTTAAAAAACTAAATGGTCTGGTCCAAATTTGTAAACTAGAGATAAATCATTCTCTCGGTCATAATAACTCTACCAAAATGTTAGATACCCCAATTTTTTAATTAATATTGTTATTAAAATACTCACATAAGTGTGGATTTCACATGAATATTGTCACGATCTGCTCCCCGTATCTAAGGGTTAAGTATCGTGATGGCCAGTAACTGAAATTACATCCGGCCAATTCGTGAACAAATTAATAAACGCAAGCAGAAGTAATATTCAAGTGAGAGTATCAAAATAATCATTGGAGCTTCTATTTTTATTACAAAATTAATTGACCAAAAAGGCCGATATTTACATATAAACATATCATAAAAAAAATACTGTGTGTGTTTATTCCGCAGCCCCGCGTCTAAGACTTTCCAAAAGTTATTTCTGAATTGCACTGTTTTCTGAAAATTGGTAAACACCTATAAGCACATGGCAGAGTGAAAAATATTATACCAAGAGTATGAGAGACACGAAATAACTATGGATAATTATGTAACTAAAATATTTAAGATAACTTAGTCTGAACAAATAGTAGTAAAGCTAAGATTATGTAAATAAATAATCATAACCACGGTACCAAACAGAACAGAACAGATGTCACATGAATGACAGTCAGAACAGAGATACGGATTCAAGAGGTGGCTCATACGGATTATAGAGGTGACTCCCACAATGGTGTACCACAGAACAGAGGTCAATGGATTCATGACAACAGAGGGCCACAAAGTGATTAAACAGAAGCCAATGGTTATTTATGTAACCCAAGGAGTGAGACTCCTGTGGTGATACTTACAAAATATAATTGTTTATAAGATTATAGTCAAATATTCTTTAAAGTATAAAGAAACATATGCATGAGTTTCATTTTAACAAATAGAATTCAGAAATTAAACCACGTAACTGAAATATTTATAAAATATAACTCTAATAAAATACAATTTGTATAAAATAAATTATGATAAGTCAAAACATACGTAAAATATATTATGATAACTCAAGATATAATATACCTCACATTAATCTTAATACTTCACTCTTTCTTTTCACTACCAATTTAACCTTAATATTTCACTCTTTTTCAACTTCCATTATTTTTTCCTTCCTCTCTTTTCTTTCTTTCTCTCTCTCTTTCCTTTCTTTCCATTCACAACAGCTCCTCCTCCTTTTATACTCGGGGTTAACAGGTTACTCATTCTATAATTAATTTCCAATGTCATGATTCACCACATCGAAGGACTTAGACTTACCAGGTATTTGGTCACCTTTTACAATATTTCACTTTTGGTCAGTTTCTTAATATAATTATATAAACAAATTATTTTTTAATTAAATTATATTTTATCTCATATGCCCAAAATATTTAATATTTTATTTTATTCTTACAAAATATTTAATTAAACATTTAGAATTTTTCTCACTTATAATTAAATAATACTAATATAAAATTTAAAGAATAACTTAAATTTTCAAATTTTTACAAGTATAAATCTCACACACATAAATATTTGACAAAAAAATATATATCACTACATTGCTCTAACTCTATTCTATGAGAAGGAGTTGAAAATCTATTTCCTTTTCCGTTAAAGATCTTGGAATCAACATTTTAATGCAATTTAATTTTCAAATTTTGATGATGGGTCAACACGTAAATAAAAAGTGATATATTAGTAAATAACCAGTAAATTTTATTAAATTAATACAATAATAACACATCATATGATAAATAAGAAAAGTACATATTGAAAAAAATAATTTAGATCGGGACATATTGAAATTAATAATCCTGTTTTTGTAAATTTGTCACAAAAAGAATTGATTACTATCAAAATTTTCAATCGCAAGAACCCCATTAAAACATAATTGGTTGAATAATTTTTATTTTATTAGCTAAGATCTGCGCTAAATCTATCTGAATTTTTCATGAATGATCTATGTACAAACATCTAAAAAATTAGAAGAACAAATTATCAAAATGAGTTCTGAACTGTAAAGAAGCATCGTCCTAATATTTATTCTTAAAAAGTTTATCTTTCTTCTGTGTAACTTGCGTGACACTTCGTGTATTCTTATATTTTTAAAATGACAACTCATTCTATTCACTTATTTATTATTCAATTAAGTTTTATATTTATATAGAGTTACAATACAAATCTACATCAATTAATATTTTTTTTTCCTAATCCAATCATTTATCAAATTAAAAATATTTATTTTTATTTAAAAATTAAAATTAACTTGTTGTGCTATAAAAACTTTATCTCTTTACTATGTGATAATTTTGTATTTTGTAAACTTATTATACATAATTTATTTAAGTTATATTTTTTATTACACAATAAAACTACACTAATCACTTTGTTTGGTTTTGATTTTTATAATTCAATTTTCGGAATATTCTACTTTTTTATTTTTCGTATTTTTTGTTTTCACTGAATTTTTTTAATATTTTAAGCAATTTTTTTTTAATTTTTAGACACACCTAACATAAATACACTTAAAAAGTATAATATTTGTGAAAAAAATCTTTAAAAAATTCACTAAATACCAAAAATACAGTATATATATATATATATATAAATTCAGTACGCTTTTTGTATTTTTGTATATTTAATAATTTTTTAAAATATTTTTTCACAAACATTTTACTCTTTAGATGCATCTAAGTAAGGTGCATTTAAAAAAAAAATTAAAAAAATTACTTAAAATTTTAAAAATATTCACTAAAAACAAAAAAAAAACATAAAAAATAAAAAACTTAATTTTTAAAAAATTGAAACTAAACACACTAAATATTTTCTCTTCAATTATAAATACATATAGTTTTAGTTAGCTCCCAGCAAAACCAAAAGAAAAAAAGCTTTAGTTTGCTAATTACGATCAATGAATGTCATATATGAAACCCACATTAATCATCAAAATTTGGAATGTCACGAAAAAAATTTGAAAAAAAACTATCATCCAATTCTATGTGGAAGATATCCGGAGGAATAGGCCCTGGAATCTCCCACAAGCACGATCGACTCGAACAATTTTCTAATACAAGAGGAGAGTTTAATTTTTCGCATCTTTTTCTGTCTTCTCTCTTCTTTTTGTTGTTCCAACTAGGAAACTTTTCTGTTCTTTCATCATCTGAAGGTATTCTTTTCAGGATACCTGAAACTGTTGCTGCGGAGACATCAGATGAATTTGGAACATTCAAAGTAACCCTTTCTTTCGTAATAAACGTCAACGTCTTAGTTCTGAATTGTCGGGCTATCGATTGCGAATGGAAACCAAGATAAGGTTGATTCTTAAAATGGCTAAGTTTGTTCGATGGCTTTCCTCTCGGTTTCTTAGCTATTGGTTGCGAAGCAACACTTAACAGAAGTTTATTGTTATAGTTGTTAGGCTTCTTTGGTGGTTTTCCTTGACCACGGTGCATGATATAGGTCCACTCTATCTAGAACTTGGAGAAATATTAATTCAAAGTAAATTCTTCAATGATATATAACTAGAAAAGGTTTGTTTGAGGCTTCAACAGGGTTTAGAGAGAAGTGAAAGCGAGAGTGTAATTTATAAACATGAAGAATTCAAAATCCTTTCTTGTCAAACAAGACTTTGGAATCCATAGCCTCATGGGATTTCCAAAAAAGAGACACATATTAACACGTCCTTCCAAATTTGATGATGTTTTGCAAACCCATTGTTATAGAATATGACATTTGAGTCCCTATTACACCAATACAATGACAGTAAGGCCCTGTTTGGAGAGTGTAATTTTTAGCCAAAAAATCACTATAAATCATCAGAAGACTCTCTCTACTTATATATATATATCTCTTCATAAAAATTTAAAAAACCAACTAAAATAATTAATTTTCAAATTTTATTAAATAAAAGGGCAAACTTATCTCTCTTAAAAAAATAAAACGAACCCATAAATTTGGCATAATATAATTAGAATTCCTTTAAATTTTAATTCACATAATACTTAACTCCATTTTCAATAAATAAAAAAATAATATTATCATCTCTTTTATATTATAATTTGTATTTTATTTTTATATTTTCACACTATTTAGGTTAGTTCCAATTAGTAATGGAGATCAGTGTAACTAATACAAAAATTATAGAACTGCTAAGGTCAATGTAATTTACCCTAAATAAAAAAGTGAGTCACATTAAATTAATGTAATGATAACATATCATACGATAAATTTGGTCAAAGTGCTCTCAAAAACAATAATAATAAAAAAATAAATTTGGTCACAATAGGATTACTGTTCACCAAAAAGCCGAAAAGGGAAAAATAAAAACTGAGCTTATACAAAATTTTCATTTGCAGGAAACAACACGAAACTGAATACGCAACAAAAAAAATCTAAATACATGAATCCGACGTAACCTCTCGTATAAGGTGGAACCCGTTAAATGTGTAAGTCCCACCCTGTCTGAAAGGATTGTGTTTGATTACACTCCACAAATGGGAAGAAGAGTAAGAAGAAAAACTAGCAGACATTTCAGGTGTACAAAATATAACCTAAACTCAACTGGCAATCAATGAATGATACAAAAGCAATCCATAAGTCGTTGGTACAGAAACTAAAGCACAATTGTCACCCCACTTTTAAGGGAAAAAACTAATTGGTTTTAAAGAACAAAATACTTTTATCATGTAATGCTATAAGAAGCTGTTACATGACCAACTATGACGTTTAGAAAACAAGCTGTGAGACCTACTTGTGTTTGTCTTGTCCTGTTCCTGAAGACGGCTCTCCTCCGTTCTTGGGCTTTGATGGGGCGACCTTGGCAGGAGTCGAGTGCTCTGACTGAGAGAATTGGATCAAGATCTGCATAAGGAATGTGACAATGGCTAACCCAATTGCCGAGAATGCCATACCCTTCCATGTGGATAGAAGTGAAGTCCACTGAAAGAATTTTAAGGCCCCAAAAATGAGCAGACATGCCCAGGAGATAACGACCTGTTATTCACACGGATTGGTAGTTATTATTAGTTTGAGAAACAACCCATGCAACCTTAACATATATGCAACCTAAATAGAACAGATATATATTACCACAAGAGACTTTATTGGCCGGCCCATATCTTGTTCTTGCTCCCTGAAAATGTTGTCAACTTTGTGCTTGTCCAATAACTTATCCTGGTAAAGCCAAAACCAAATTGTGAAGAAGTTACAAAAATTCACATATCATGCAACCAGACAAACTACTCATGAAGGTGTCATTTATCAGTGTTATAAAGCTATTCCGGAAGTCATATACATAATTATATGTACATGTGTGTGCACTTGTTTCCATATAGCATCTAGCTTAAGATATTTTTCCGAGGAAAAATAAACAAATTGAGAAACCCACTAAAATGCAACAGGTTACAACACAGGATGAAGAAGAGTGTGCACCTTGGCCACGAACATATCTCTGCACCATTGGGCAACAGCATCATCTGTTTCAGGCAAATCCTTCATTAAATGCCGCTTGAGGTGCACATGCATCTGCATGATAGTGAATAATTAACACACTATTTAGGGTAAACTACCAATAGGTCATAATAGTTGGACTTAATTCCTATCAAGTTTTATTGAAAATAAGTTCTAATAAAAGCGGCGTTAAAAATATTTTTTTGTAACAAATTTTTACATATGTTGGTAAAAATTAACAATTGATGACTTTTTTTTGTCATGTTTTTATAAATTGTCACTAAAACTTACAATTAGTGACGTTTTCCTGTGATAATTTTTTCAAACTATCATTGAAAGTTAAAATTTAGTGACTTTTTTTTGTGACGATTTATTTAAACTGTCGTTAAAACTTATAATTAGTGACATCTTTTTGTGGCAAAAATTTTAAATTGTCGCTGAAAATTAACCATCAATGACGTTTTTTTAACAGTCTTTGATGAAAACGTCATTAATTCTCACAGAACTTATTAGACAATAAGTACACTTCTGAGGACCTACACGTAAGTCTCCTAACATTTATACATATAAACCATGCATCTTAATTTCGTGAGAAATTTCTTCAACCAATAATTTATTCCATCATGCTAATGCTACGCAGTTAATCACCTAATCGAGTTATCACTAATATGTCTTTCAAATTAGAAAAAGGAAAGAAAAACCAGGATTGTGTGATGCTTCAAATTGAAATTCCCACAATGTTTGGGATGCTGGATGGCTGCATATAGCTCTTTCTTTCTATGATACAATTCTTTTCTCACGCCAAAACTGATCGAGCATTGAAGACCCATTAGTAAGTCCAGTGAAATGTCTACAATGTTGAGACTAATTTTGTTTGATATGGTAGGATAAATAGGAATGTGCCTGTCAGGGAAGGATAACTCATTTACAACTTTCTTGGCTGCTTATCTGTACATATCAAGAAACGAACTTGCAGGTTCAACAAAAGCACCAAGTTGATTGATCTTGAGAAAGTTCAAAATTCTACCTCGCATCATGAAACAAGATCAAAATAACTTGGGAACCACAACACAACCGACAAGTTTCAAAACCACATGTGCAAACTTTTATAATGCCACTTTTAAAACTCACTACCATATACTCACCACAGAAGACTGCCCCTTAAAGAGTCTTAGCATTGTAGGTGGAGGCGAACTCTTTGGAATAGCAACAGTTACTTCATAAACGGCCGGAACAAATGAGCGCATCTGACTTACTGCTGAAACAAAACCCTGAAAGCATATAAGTAGATTCTTTGTCAAACCCAATAATGTGCAAAATATCAACCACAATCAAAATTGACACCTGACAAAATTTCATCATGTAACAAACTGCAGGAGAGGTGAAGCCGTTATAATAACAGTAGTCTCATCTTACTACAAACACAGACATTGTAACATGTAGAAGCTAAGCTAAGAAAACCTTATAACAACCTCATCTGAATATACATTTTTTAATTTTAATTTTATTAAACAATTAAATGTATTACTATTATTTTTTGTGTTAAGGTTTTGGTGGCTCAAGACTCTTTTTCTTTTTCTTTTTTTTCTTTTTTTGGTCTGTGTCAATTACAACTATTATTTTATGTTTTACTATTATTTTTTGAGGTCAATTTCCAGTCTTGTAACAGACAAGATTCCCCCCTCCACAGACTAAGGCCTCCAAACAAAAAAAAAAAAAAAATCCCAAAATGATTAATTAGAAATATTTTAATCCAAAATGCATCCTCAAAGAGTTTCCCAATTATTAACCAATGAAATCACCAATCGATCACACTTTGAACTATTGAATTAAACATCAAATAATGGTTTCTTATACTAGCAAAGTAAACAAACTTGTTGAACAAAATTTTAGAAGCCTAAACCAAACATAACCTAGGAGGAACATAACAAATTAACAACTCCAACTACAGAGATGAATTATAAATTTACATTTTCAGTGAATAAAACTCTTGAGAAACCAAATTGCAATCTGAGGAACCCACTACTCGATGTTATATTAAGCTAAAATATAAACTGGATCCCAAAAGTATTGATTGGGGTATATTACAAACCCATCAATGTAAAGAACATGAGAGAAACGATACACATTCTAATCATGAAACTGTACAAGACTGAGTAAATATAATTTTGTTAGAGAGAGAGAGAGAGAGAGAGAGTGGTTTGACAATTCTGTAGTTGTCTAAACTAGAAGCAATGTTCTCAGATACGTTCCAGGCAAGATATTCAAAAAAGAATTACTTTTGACACAAAAAATAATAATAATGGAAATCCAACCATAACATAGAAAAGCCCTTAACTCATAAGGCTTAAGCCACCAAATTTAGCAAAAAGCTAAAATCAGAAAGTGTGCACACGATCAATAGGTAGGTAGATATTTACAGACTAGATATTTTAGACACTTAAAATGGGAAGGAAGTTATTCAAAAATTAAAAAGATGAAAATCGATTCAAAGAGAAACCAGGAAACTACATCAGGGGGAAATGCAGCCTTCCATCTTATAAAGAGGTGAAATGAAAGTCTAACCTTGGTACGAGGAATCAAAACATTTCTAGGAACAGGCAACCCTGCTGAAGCTGCATACTCCTGAGCTGCTTCAAGCTTTGCCTGTGTAAAGCGAGTTCCTTCTACAAAAAGTGCCAACCAAAACGGCAGAGGGAAATCCTTTAACCGCTGAAGACCTGACTGCAGATTGAATCCCACAAGATTCGAATAAGATCAGTTAGGGCACCTTAAAAGCAAGCATCTCAAAGCTACAACACATAGCATTTGTTAAGAAATGTATTAAGTACACCCATACCTTTAAAGTGATTTCATCCTTAGCCCAGCTTCTTTCAAGAAATAGATACTCAGAAAACCACATAGACCAACCTATGACCTGCATATGTTGGACATAGCTTTATCCTTCCAAATATATCTTTGAAGGTATTGAGGTGTTCAAAAGACAAGGCAAATGATAATGAGTAAGGAACATGACAAGTAAACAATAATAAATCACGCAATTGAGGAGACAATACAGCAATGATCCAAACTTGTTATAATTTCATGTATTTTAAATACAGATCACAATAAACCTTCACTGAAAAGTAGCAATGCAAAAGGTAAGCAACATTTGTCATACTTGCAAAAAATTGTTGATCATACTTGCATATAAAAATTGTAAAAAGATCACTTTCTGACTATTATGTCAACTTTTCAGCTTTACGTCCTTAAATTTTTCATGAACTTGATTCTCCCCTCACTTACAAAATATACCATTACTATGATAATATGTAACAAACAAGGCCCACAAACTGCGTCAGAGCACCAAATTCACAAATTAACAATGCATTGATCTTTCAAGACAAAAGGCCACTCCATCAAGAACTGAACTGTCAATATTTGAATTTAACTAATTAACCTAAAATACTTCACTTAAACCACACTTAGAGACCATGTCAAGTTAAGATTCTTACCGGAAGGAATTTTGATGATTTCTTCATTACAGCTAATGCACTACCAAGGCAACCTGCTCGCTGTTATAAGGATTTTGACAAATAATCAGTGGAAATCATAATTTCTATTATAAATAATAAGTGGAAACATAGTACAGAGCAAAGATTACAACCAAAACAATCTAAACAAAACAGTATAGCAAATGTCAAACACTGTCATTTGCAAAAAAAAAATATGCTTACTCTGCAAACATGAGTATGCCTCTATACGTCTACTTACATAACTAATGTGCATAAGCATGTCGGTGCTTGTGCATGCACATACATAAAAAAAAAACAAATAAATAAATAAAAACTGCATGTCAGATAAGCACCTGAGCCAAAACCCATCCAACAAGCCAATCAATGTCGCTTTTGTGATTAGAGACAACAAGTGCATGTTCTTTACCTAGAAAATATGCCAACATAAGACAACAAAATAAACTGCTCAGTATATTCCAGTAAAGAAGAACACTTATCTCTCAGATAAATAGAAGCACATTGTACTCAACCAATAAGCAGTCGTTACCCATTAATCGAAAAGTTTCTGAATCTGTGAAGAGTTTAATCTGCAGCCAGAAGCAACTAACTATCAACAAGAGGAATTGTTTAGTCTTGTACTATATATGTGAGCCAAATAGTTTCTCTTAATTAAAGAGCAGCTGCACACTTATCACCTCTTTGTCTCCAACTAAAGAAGTAAACTATAAACAGTGTAAACATTGAGATTGCCCATCAAAAAAATTTCTTTTTTTAATCAAGTGCATGTACCAAAAGGGTTCTGCCCAACAGCAAGATAACTGTTGTAGTAGTGGGAAATTATAACTGGTTTAGTCAAAACAAAAATGCAAACTACCTTATCCCAAAACAAAAAACATAAACAGAAAAAAAATCAATGTACTTAATGTGAAAAATACAAAAACAAGCAAATGGGGATATGTTATCACCTTAACGCCTGCCCACCAATCAACAATCCATACGAGCTCCAGCCACAACAATTCTGCCACTACTCTGTTAATTTTTCTGTATGTATTCTTCGACAATGGCCGAACAAGTACAAAACAAATTGCCTGAAAAGAGCGATCTTCCAATCCATTAGATTAAGCAAGTCAGTGTTTCTCTAACCCCTCCCCACTTTTCAACCCATCCCCCACAGAAGGGATGAGAGAGATGGAAAGAAGAAGAAAAAAAATGTGTAAACGAATGATAAAACCTAAGAACAATTGTAAGTTTACCAATTTTCTTTAAACCCTTTTAACAAAAGCAATCAACTTGCTACAAAACCTAGTACTTCATAGCTATCACAAAGAAGAAGTAAAAGCAGCGAAAAATCCAATAAAATTTGAAAAAAATCACAGAAACCTTGGAGATTCAAATGAAAAATTGAGCAAAGCTTGACAAATTAGAACCAAACTTAACAGATAAAACCTAAGAAAACACCTGCAAGTTTACCAATTTTCCATGAACTCCTTTGATAAATGCAATCAACTTGCAACAAAACCTAGTAATCCATAGCCATAAGTAAAAACAGCGAAATTTCCAACACAAACCACCAAAAAACGCAGAACCCATGAGAGATACAAGCAACATTTGAGCAAAACTTCACAAATTAGCAACCAATTAGCTCAGTCAAATTCAAACATACACGACAAACTGACGCATCGAATTCGAAAGCTTTGATTTTACCTGGATGAGATTGACAACGAGACCTGAGAGAAAGAAGAGAACGCCCATCGAGACAATAACAGGTCCCGCTGGAATCGCCATGACACAAGTGCGAGAGAGAAAATGGTGAATTTTTAGAGAGAGAAAAGTTGGATTTTCTCTCCGAAGAACAGAGAGAAACTATACAAATACGAATATAATTACTGTAGTTAGTGTGTGTGTGTTTGGGGGGGGGGAGATATATAAGGATTTATTTATTTATTTATTTTTTAACTGTAAATGGGTTTGATTTAAATGCACCCAATGTTTTGGTTTCACACCCCATTTTTTCATTATACCCCCTTTGCCAATTTTTTTTTTTTTTAATATCTCAAATAATACATATTTTATATATACACCCTTTAATCACTCACTGGTGTTTTTTTATTGTTTCATTGTCATTGTCAGTCTCGGCATCATCTCATACTTAGTGCTTAGCTTCTTTGCTTCCATCTTTTCATCTCTTTTGTCGGTCCAAAACTCTAATTCAAATCCCTTTCTCGTTATAAACAACATATTCCTCTTTTTTTTTCTCTAAAAACTCTAGATTTTCCGATTTAGTTTCCCTCTCCCCCCTCGAAAACCTTATACTCCCTTCGTCTCAAATATTAGTTCTTTTTTCATTTGTTTTATTATCCAAAAATATTAGTCCCTCTTTATAAATCAGAGTACGTAAAAACAATAATGTAATTTCTATTTTGCCTTGCTTTAAATTAATAAACAATTTAAAAAGTCAATAATGACATTGATATTTCCAAAATGTTACATTCAAAGGGTAATTTTGAAAAATCAACTTTTTTCAAAATGGAATTAAGTTGTACTGCAAACACAAAAAGTTCGGATTCCCAAAAGGGGACCGAATATTTTGGGGACGGAAGGAAGTATCAAAGATCTATAGAATTTTAGTGAATAGAATAAGGGATGATGAAGAGGGTTTGGTAGGGAAAAGAGGTGCTAGGATGGGGCTTTGAGCAGCAAAGGAAGATGAAAAGGTGGCGACATTAACGAGGAAGAGGTTGTGATGGTGGAGGAATAGAAGATAATGACAACGATCGAGAGAAAGTTGGAGTGATAGAGAATAAGGTGAAAGAACAGAGTTGAAGATGGGAGCGTGAGAGTAATGGTTGTATGTGAGTGAATTTCCGATCACACTGCCAACTCAGTACTCAGTTGGAGAGCACTGACAGAATAGATGGCACTTGTCTGACCTGCAACAGAAAGAGAAGATTCCGGCGGTGGTTCGTTCACCCAGGGGCACTTCGACGATCAAGTCAGTATATCTCTCAAAGATAATCAATAGTGCTAAACTCACTGTTTAGAATATAAATTGCGTACCTTAGACCCTTCGGGGGTGCCTTTCTTTTATAGTTACCTCAATCCTAGTTCCCATAAAAGCCTAGCTTCCATGGACTTCTACTCAGTGCTTATCCTGGACTCTCCAATTGTTTGAGGCCTTTAACCCCAATCGAATGGACTGTTCCAATATCTCTCCATCTAGAGATACTAGTACCACTCCTGCCCCCGCTCCTTGCCAGTTTGAGCTCCCATCGACAAACAGTCGAAAGGAGTCACCGATGTAAATGCTGCAGGGTCTGAGTTTTTCCTTTTTCCTTTGTTCTGTTGCATTCGGTTGGGCTTCTCCTTGCTTGCTTGGACATCGTTCACCTCGGCTCGACGGAGCCCGATGTACGATGGATTCTGGTGTGAACTCGGCCACGAAGTCGGCCAAAACTTGGCCTTTGATTGCTGTTCTGGGTCTGTACTCCAAGTCATACTGTCCCAAAGGCCACTACATTGATTGCAGGACTAAAGTTGGCGGTAGCAACAGAAGCAGATGAAGTGATAGTCTTCTGTGACTCCCAGCTCATAGTCAACCAGACAACGAGCGAGTTTGCAGCCCGAGATGAAAATATGTCAGCCTACACAAAGGAAGTCAACAGGTTAGTGGCCTTGTTTCAGAATTGCCGACTACATCAGGTTAGACAAGATGATAACAGTCACGCCGACGCACTGGCCAATCTAGCGAGTGCAATACAACCTCAAAAAGCAAGGACGATAATGGTCGAATACTTGTCGGGCCCGAGCATTGAACCACCGATCGCAAAGCACGAAGCAATGTGTGTGGATATGGGACCAAACTGGATGGATGCAATTGTAGTATTCTTAAAGGAAGGGAAGCTGCTAGATGACCACAAAGAGGCACACAAGATCAGATTGAAGTCGGCAAGATTCAATCTGACAGCGGAAGGACATCTCTACAGAAGATCCTTCGCTGGACCCCTTTTGAGGTGTGTACATCCTTCACAAGTTGAAGATTTTTTATATGAAATACATGAAGGAATTCGTGGAAGCCACGCTGAGGGCAGATCACTTGCCCATAGGGCCATTACGCAGGGGTATTGGTGGCCCTACATGCAAAGAGATGCAGAAGCTTATGTGAAAAAGTATGAAAAGTGTCAAAGGTTTGCACCTCTGATACATCAACCAGCAGTAGACCTGAATCCAGTATCCAGTCCTTGGCCATTTGCCCAATGGGGCATGGATTTCGTTAGGCAACTGCCCCAAGCAACTGGACAAAGAAAGTATCTGCTGGTAGCAACAAATTACTTCACCAAGTGGATAGAAGCTGAGCCCCTAGCCAAGATCCGAGATGTGGATGTGAAGAACTTCATATGGAGGAACATCATTATCAGATTTGGGATTCCAAAAGCAATAATTGCTGACAATGGAACACAATTTGACAGTAAGCCAATCAAAAACTTTTGTACAAAGTTCAAAATCAAGAATTACTTTTCTACCCCGAGTTTCCCTCAGAGCAATGGACAAGCAAAAGCATCAAACAAAGTCATCTTGGATGGGATTAAGAAGAGGTTGCAAGTGTGCTCTAGGCATATCGGACTACGCCGAGAAGATCAACGGGGGAATCCCCCTTTGCCATGGCTTATGGCACAGAAGCTGTCATTTTGCTAGAAGTCGGCATCCCTGGGATCAGAACCCAGGAAGTAGAAAACAGGACTAATGATGTACTCTTAGCCCGAGATCCGGACCTACTAGAAAAAAGAAAAGAGAGAGCTGCAATTCAGCTGGTAGCATACCAGCAGCAGCTTGTTAGAGCTTATAATAAAAGGGTTAACCCAAGAAAGTTTCAAATCAGTGACCTCGTCCTGAGGAAAGTCGTCAGCAACAAGAAGGATCCCAGAGAGGGGAAGCTTGGCCCAAATTGGGAAAGACCCTACAGAATCATCTCGATACTAGGTAATGGGACATATCGGCTTGAAGATAATGAGGGCAAAGAGTTGCCAAGGCCATGGAACACTTGCAATTTGAAATTTTTCTATCATTAGATTTTTTGTCATTTTGCCGAAGTAAATAAATAAATAAAGTTTTAGCTTGTTTATATATGTTTATACACTTGTGACTGATAAAGATACATAACGTTGTTTCTGGAATACATGTATAACGAGAACCCAAGTGAAACCTAGGTTCACATCAGGGGACAGAGAGAAGAAAAATGGGTTTAACACTTGTTGAAACTTGAGAAAAGTTTACAAGTTGAAGTTAAACCGAGATTATGTTTAACACTTATTGAAACTTGAGAAAAGTTTACAAGTTGAAGAGAAAAATGGGTTTAACACTTATTGAAACTTGAGAAAAGTTTACAAGTTAAAGTTAAACAGAGATTATGTTTAACACTTGTTGAAACTTAAAAAGTTTACAAGTTGAAGTTAAACCGAGATTATGTTTAACAATTGTTGAAACTTAAAAAGTTTACAAGTTGAAGTTAAATCGAGATTATGTTTAAACACTTGTTGAAACTTGAGAAAAGTTTACGAGTTGAAGTTAAACCAAGATTATGATTAAACACTTGTTGAAACTTAACAAGTTTACAAGTCGAAGTTAGACTGAAATTAAACATTTGTTGAAATTTTATGAAATTTTTTTTACAAGGTGGAACCAAGGTTATGCCAAGAAAGGTACTTGGGTACTTGCCGAGGTAAATCATCAGTTTGTATAACCAAGGTATCTCACCCCGAGAAGGTTGCACAATGATTGAAGTGTATATTAAAGATATACAAGATATTCTAAGTATGAAAGCATACAAGGCAAACATGCAAGCATTCAAAACAACAAAGTTGAATTAAAAGCACATTGGTGATGCAAAGAGTTTATATTGCTTCAAAAAGAAAAACAAAGTACAAAATACAAAAGAAAAAAGACATCAAAGTCAAGACTCTTCGGCAACAACGGATGGTTGGGTCTGAAGTTCAGACGACTGCTGGGAAGACACCTCGGTAGCCTTTTCCGCCGCAAGCTCGGCATTAATTTCTTGAAGGGTTTCATCAAGGCTCTTGTCGGCAAGAATAACGTCGGCTGATGCCTCCTTAGCTGTAGCATCTTTGGGAACCTTTTCACCCTCCTCATCTTGAGTCAAGTCCAGGACTTGCTCATTCAGAGAAGGGGACTTGGTCCCAGCAGCCTCCTTTGATTTCCTCACCAAGGTTTCCTCCTCAGACTCAGATTCGTCGTCGGATTGACTTGGAGTTTGAGGGAATGGAAGAGGAATGACATCGGCGTTCTTGAGGGGCGAGTCCTTGGGGACTTCAAGCTTTTTTAGAAGAGACATCCAACCAAGAGTGAAACCCTTGTTGCATGCCTGCTTCACTTGTTTTTCATAGTCCGCTGTGACATCAGCCACCCCCTCATTATAGCCCTTCTCATCAGCTGTCTTGAGCTCGGCACCCTTCGTGGCCAAGGCCTCTTGCAATTCTTTTTTGGGCCTGGGCCGTTTTCTCCTCGACCTCATTCTTTTCAGACTCAAGAACCTTCTTTATGGCCTCGGCGGATTCTGCTTTTTCTTCGGCGACATTTTGGGCCTTGATGGCAGCCTCGGCCTGGTCTTCCAACTTCTTAATTTTTTATTGTAAGCTTTTGTTGGCCTTTTGCAGACTGGCAACTTCTCTCTTCTTATCGGCCAGTTCTTTCCGGTTCTCAAAGGATTGTATTGAGAAGGAATGAGCATGTTGAATGGCCTGAAAGCGAACAAGACAAAAGTTATTAGAAAATTTTCTAAGTACAAGAAAGAAAGAAAAATGACCAAATAAAGACACTCACTTAGACAGAGCCCTGAAGCATCAGAGCATAGTTTTCATATTCACTCAACCCAGCGTTTCGGTCGAGATCGCCGGGA